AGCTTACAAACTTTCTCAAGTTGATTGGCCATCAGCAGTCAAATTGAAATGATGAATTAATTGGATCTCATAAATGAATTAATACTAATTAGTAGTGTCCTGTGTTATTCCTCCCAAGAGTAAATGCACTTTTAAATTTCTTTGAGGAAGAGAGAAAAGCTGAACCAAAAGGAGGCCACGGTGTGAACAGCAGAGCCCTAAGAGCCTAGAGATTTCACATGACTTGGGGCTGCTGTGAATTAGAGGTCAAACTTCAGAATCAGTTTATCAATTTGTAAAAGAAGAGACTGGACTAGATGAAATCCTTTGCAACTCAAACATTCTATTTTTTTTTCCCCAAAATATTCTATACTAGTTAGATTTAGGAAGTGTGGTACTAAGATGACTTTAGGTGGAGGAGTTCAAATGACCCTCGTATCACACTGTATAGCTTACCATCTACTCCATTCACTCAATAAGATCAGTCATGAATAAGAATATTCTTCCTTCTGCAGTCTTAGCCTGTTAATAATATAGTCTTCATTGGGGCTTAAATGAACACCTAAAACATAATCATAGGGATATTTGGTTTCAAGACAATGGGATAAAGGCCTTTCTTACCCTTTCTCCTCTCCAAAATTATCTCCCCTAAACAGCAAGGAAAACAGAGAAAAGTAACACAGATTTTGTCTTCCATGAAACCAGAAGACATTTGTAATATCTGTAACTACACAATATGTGAAGTTGGAAGACAGGTAAATGATTTAGTGGAGATAAGGAAGGTCCAACCAGAGTGCCAGAGTGTCTATAACAAGAAGCAATTTGATCCACCTTGCTCAATGCCAGAAAAGGCCCAGAAATTGAAGGCAAAAGAAATCCCAGAAAGTAGAGATGAGGCAAGAGCCCAAAATAAGGGAATTGGCTGAAAGTCTGTATAAAGATCAGGTAGAACTCTTTCCCCAGATCTCTACCCCACTGACTGATAGCCTCACCCCTATAAGCAAGATAGGGTATGAAATCTCCAGAGAAATAGAAACAGAGATACTCTGGTTGTGAGGGTACCAGACCCAAGAGAGGGCAGGCACTAAGAACGGGGGATCCCTTCCCAGTTCCAGCATGAAATATTATATAAACACAAATTACTGCTTTTGTTATGACACATTTTTGGCAGTACGACCTCTGAAGAAAAACTAAACAGAATCTTCCTTTCTAGAAGTCTTTCTCTTTTAAAGATAACACTGCTGAGAAATCTAATGATTATGTGCACATACGTTAATATAAGGATTGATTCTTCTTTCTAAAAGTAGACTCATAAGTTTCTCTCTTGATTTATCAAGTATTTGCCAACTATGGGTCAATTCTTCTCTTTTCTTGAAACTGGTCTTTCTAGGCAGCTTTGCCTTAGTACCCACCTGCTCCTTCATCTTGCTACCCTTTCTCTCTACCCTCTAAACAACAAAAATCCTTCAGAAAAGGGAGTCTAGAGCTCTCTTTGTCTCTCTCTTTACACTTTCTTTGGGTAATACCATATACTCACATGACTCAGCAACTAGCCCCATCAGCCAGTAGATTCTCAAATTCTCCCAAGCTTTAAACTTGCATTTCCCTCTTCCTGCTTGACACCTCTAATCGGAATTATCTGAAAAATCAGATCCTCCTCTTTGTCCTTTCCTTTTCAACGACATCGATGATCTCAGTTATTTGGCCAAAATCGCCAAGTCATCTCTGACCCTGCTTTCTTTCTCTCTCGCACGCGCTTTTTTTTTCTTTTTAAGATTTTATTTACTTGAGATAGAAAGAGAGAGAAAGAGAGACAGAGAGAGAGAAAGAGCGCACATAAGGGGGGCAGGGGCAGAGGGAGAGGGAGAAGCATGTTCCCCGCTGAGCAAGGAGATTGCAATGGGGCTTGATCCCAGGAACCTGGGATCATGACCTGAGCAAAAGGCAGACACTTAGCTTGATCGCTTCATTGACTGAGCCCCTCAGGCACCCCTCTGCTTTCTCTTTAAACCCCTCATGGGCAGTTAGTTGCATATTCTATGATCCTATCTGTGTATTCTGTCTTCCAACCTCTTCCCTTTCCATCCCACCAGTGCTACACTATTACAGATCCTAATCTCAGCCAGAATGGCTATAGTAGCCCCCTAATTTATTTATTGACATTCTCTCAATTGCCACTTCAATCCATCCTGCTCTCAGACTGGCTTTGATCAAATTGCTGCTGCTCTGTAACCATCAATGGCTCCCTATTGTCTCCTCCTGGCAAGATCCTCCCTATTAATGCCCCAAACCAATACACCCAGCTAAATCTCACTGCTCCTACACATACTCTATGTTCCAATGAAACTCAATTAACGTTCCCCAGACATGCCTAACATTTTTGGGGGAAGGGCTTCAATTAATGTCCCACTCTGTCTCTGTCTCCTTTCCTATCTTTTAGAGCCATAAATGTTTCCTTCATTTCTCCATGACCTTACATAGTCCGTCGCTCCTTTACACTTGATCCTTCATAGCTCCTTCCTTGTATGTTTTTATGGTACTTATTTTACTCTAATTTATAGCATAATAGCTCATGCCCAGTTTCATTTCCACCTCTCCCTCATGAGATTTTAAACTTCTTGAGTGCAGATAAGTTGTCATACTCATCTTTGGGGCTTGCTGTACTTAACTTGCACTTGGCACATGCAAATGCTTTAAGAAATGTCTTTGAATCGAAACTCATGAGAACTGCCTTCAGATGCCTTTTTGGAGTTTTATCAGATATATTTAATAACTAAAAACTTCGAGAATGAGGTAATCTTGCCAATGACAGACTACTTGGTCTTAGGTTTGCAAACAATTGGGAAAAAGAAAGTCTTGGTTTGAATCAATGGTTGAATCAAGAGTTCTATCAAAGGATATTTTTAAAAAGTCTTGTTAGTGATACAGCAGATGACATTCTTTCTCCTAAGTCAGTCTGTTTAAAATTCCCAAATGGAATACTGGAGCACGGAGCAGTGAAATGAGCAACAGGATAACCTTGAGGAATCTTTTTGGTAAAAGTGGGATTCTATCTTCAGCATCCTGACTAAATTTTAAGTCCAGCTATTCTCTTCTGACTACTGAAAATGACCCTGGGGCTTTGAGAGACTGGTTATCCTGCTCCAATTCCATCCTAGGCTTGTGTTCACTTTCTGAGCTTTTAAACTGTGGCCATATTCTACTTGAAGGAGGAATAAAGAGCTGATTTTTTTCTACAGATATCAAACTAGTGCCCAACGTTAGCAAATGACAGGACTCAAACATGAAGAGATCGCTGCCCTACCACCCGAAGAAACATTTATTAATGTTTGTCTCCTTAAGATGACTGGATCTTCTCAAGCGCTTTACAAAGTAAATATACTAAGACATCTACTTGTTGAATTATGTAAAGTCAGAAAATAGAAAAAAAATGTTCTATTAGCAGGTAGACAAGTTTACGATAGAATTTGCCTTAGTATTTTGTGTAATTGACCTCAAACTCCAAAAGGCAAAGTGAGTAATCTCTGCTCCACCCTATTTTCTCAGATAAGAGGGCAGTGGTGTCCCATTTAGTGTGGATTGCAGGGAACAGAAAAAAAAAATTAAATAATCAAGAAACTGAACTGGGTTATAAAAACCAAATTGGCAAAAGGAAAAATAGACAATGTCTTAAAATCTTAGGGAGGCTGGGAAGCGAGCTGGCATGCTTTAATCCCTAAGGTATACCTTCCTTCCATTTCCTGGGCCATTTCCACTCCAGGCTAACCACATCAGGATGCGTCGCTCATTTTAATTCAGAAACCTTCCCTAGGCGATCTACCCCTAGCGGCTGATTTCTGGTTTTTTATAAGCAAATCTGGAAGGGCCAGGCGTGGTCTCTGAGCCCGCAGAGCTATGCGAGATTAGGTCCGTCTAGAGGTCGCCGCAGAAGCCTGGGACCAGGATGTGGCAGCTCTAGGGCAGCAGGGGGCGCTGCATAACCTCCGTCCCTTCACAGAGAACCACTCCACCCCGCCCAGACGGTTAGTGCCGCCCGCCACGTCTGACCCCAAGTTCTCTACCTAGGTCTGTGCGTTTTTCCTAAAAAAGTCTGTAAACCCCGTGGCACGCCCAAGGTATGTGACAAGAAAAATAGCATGCACCCTTTAAAACTAAGCGCTCTCTTTTAATCCTCGCTATGTCTCGCAGCTGCTAAGGCTAACTCCAAGATCTGGAAATTGAGAAAAGTTGCTCTTTCTCACACACTACAGTGCCGACCTCTACCTTCCTTTAAAAAGAAAGCAGCTGCTGACCCTGAGCCGCCTGGGAACTACAGCCAAAGTTACCACGAAACAGTTCCCGCGGCTGCCTCGCGCCCACTCTCCCCTGGGGATTTGGCTTCAGTTTGCCCCCAACTGTGAATGGACTATGGAGAAACGAGGCGACTGGGCAAACTTATACCCACACTCCGTATCACACACCTTCCCTTCCCTTCTCCCCACTCCCCTGCACCGGCTTGGGGCCGCTGGGAGCGCCGCGGGGGAGACGCACGTTCCCAGGGTAGTTCCACGCTGGGAAGCGGGGGAGGAGGTCGAAGTTCGAGAGCGCGCCTGGGTCTAGGCACACCTTTCCATTCTTTGACTTCCTCGGGTAAGCTCGGGGTTCATTTGCCGAGGGCTCCCAGCCCATGGGGTAGTAGTGTGCGTGTAGGAGAGGACGTGTCTGCTTGCTGCAAAGCGAGTCTGGCGTCCGTTGTGTCCGTCCGCGGGGCCGTTCCTTGCGCTTGAACCGGGACACAGCCCCAGCCACGCCTTCAGCGGCCCCCAAGTCCCTCCACAAAGCAGAACCAAGCTTTGGATGCAGATCGAGGTCTGCATCCCCAAGTCGCCCCGAATAGAACTGCCTTGCCGTGCCGGGAGGCGTTTGGGGGTCCCTGGCACGTGGCGGGGCGTCCCGGAGCGCGCCATTCTGCCCCCCGCCCGGCGCTGCCCGCCCGGCGCTGCCCTCCCGACGCGCGGGCCGCGGACCGGCGGGGTACTCACATGTCCAGCCCGGGGGAGAAGGGCGGCGGGCAGTAGTCGTGCGGTTCCCGCTGTGAGGGCGCCAAGCGCTGCTCGAGCCCCCCGTTGACGCCCCTCCAGCCCCGCCGGCGGCGCTGCAGCTCCGAGCCTTCGTCCTCGCCCTCCTCTTCCTCCTCCTCCGGCGCGGGGAAGGTCACCCTCGCTTGCTCCTTGCACTTCCTGACCTTGGTGGACATCGCGCCTGCCGCGGTCCGAGCGTGGGGATGCCGGCCTCCGCCGCCGCCGCCGCAGCCGCCGCCGGGTCTGTCC